CCTCTCCCCTGCCCCATGGCAACTCTTATAAAAGAAAACATTTAATTGGGGCTGGCTTACAGTTAAGGAGTTTAGTCCATTGTCATCATGGTGGGAAGCAAGGAGGCAGGCAGGCAGGCATGGTGCTGGAGAGGTAGCTAAGAGTTCTGCATCTGGATCCTCAGGCAGCAGGAAGAGAGAGTGACACTGGGCCTGGCTTGAGTGTTTGAAACTTTAAAGCCCACCCCCAGTGACACACTTCCTCCAATAAGGCCACACCTACTCCTATAAGGCCACACCTCCTAATAGTGCGACTTCCTATGAGCTTATTGGGGCTGTTTTCATTCAAACCACCACACATGGGCTATATAGCAAGTTTGAGCTCCAACTAGGTACATAAAACCTGTCTCTAAAAGACAAAAACGAAATTAAACCAACAGTTGGCTGCTGAGTAATATGGGGGTGGGGGACCCTAAGTAGATGGTTCTGTTGGTAGAGTCCTTGTCAGGCAAGCAGGAGGACCCAAGACTGATCCCCAGAACCTACATACAAAATCTGGGTGGAATGGTTGTATGCTTGGGATCCTAAAACTGAAAAAAAAAAATGGTGATAAGCAATATATTCTAGGGTTCACTAGGGTTCAGCTAGCCTAGCTGGATCTGCAAGCCCCAGACTAAAGATAGACACTATCTCAAGAACAACAGAAACTCACAAGGTAAATAGCTCCTGGGGTTGTCCTCTGGCCTCCCTACAGGCCTGCACACATGGCCATGCACACCTGCACACACCTGTACCTGTACACACACCTGTGGAAACGCTGAACAAAAGAGTGTTTCATTCTCTGGATGGAACAGAATAGAACAAAGATTTCATCATGATGTTCAGAATGACATACAGTTTAAACCTTAGGAATTGTTTATTTCTGGAACTTTCCATATAATAATTTTGGGCCACAATTGACTCCATAACTGAAAGTGTAAAAGGGGGCAGCAGTACTGCATTTCATAAGAAGAGCAAATAAGAAAATATGGATGATTATGTCTGGACCAGGACCACCAATCTCCCAGAACATACCTGTCCTATCCACAGTGGCTGCCAAGGCCCCGGGGGAAAGCCACACCATTTGAGCTCCAGCTCTACTACTTTCTAGCTGTATCATATTGTAAACAGCATCCTAGCACCCTAGTCCTTGCCTTCCCCATCTGCACATCATCAGAGAGTTGTCCTGAAGAGTCATGGATGTGACAGATCAGAGCTCTTTGTGTCTTGTCTGTGATTCCCATTCATTTACAATAGCTCATGTCCTACCATTTGCCCTCTGACCCCTCACTCCATCAAGTTCCCTCTGGCTGGCTCTCCTACATCTCTGAATCTTTGAAATTCGTTTTTACAATCCTTTGGGATGCTTTCTGCTCTTCTCTGGTTTGCTTATAATGCCCGCTTAATTTTTAGACAGCCCCATACCATACCTGCCAACCACAGAGTAGGTTATACTATATAACTACTCTCCCCCGGCTTCATTGACAGCCCCTAGCCCTACATCCTTCTAATCCTGCATTTCTCCATGGCTTTTGAAATCCCTCTACAGAATTAACATGCCCTCTTTGCTAGGCTTCAAGGGTCCAGTGTAACGGGGAGACAGATATGCCACTGGTTATAGAACAGTTTGGCAAGTACTGGTACACACACACACACACACACACACACACACACACACACACGTGTCCATTGAGTGTTTATGATCAGAGGAATCAGTCAAGATGAATCCTGAAGAGTTGCAACATTCTTTTAGCTTCATCAACTTACAGCATATATATATATATATATATATATATATATATATATATATATGCTTTCTAGAACTCACAGCATATAGATTTGTTTTCTAGAACTCAGCATGCTTATTTTTTTTTTCTGATACATTTGGTTCAGTCCTGTGGAGGACAAGCTTGGCAAAGAATACTTGGTAAGAGGAAGTATAACTTCTCGCCAGGCGGTGGTGGCGCACGCCTTTAATCCCAGCACTCAGGAGGCAGAGCCAGGGGGATCTCTGTGAGTTCGAGGCCAGCCTGGGCTACCAAGTGAGTTCCAGGAAAGGCGCAAAGCTACACAGAGAAACCCTGTCTCAAAAAAAACAAAAAAAAAAAAAAAAAAAAGGAAGTATAACTTCTCAAAGCACATGGAAGGACCACATATTAAATAAAGAGCCTCATGTAGTCAGGACTCTGCCTGTCTTAAGGATAATCACCATAGTAACACTTGAAGTAGTCAGTCTCCTTCCCCTCCTCCTCCTCCTCTTCCTCTCCCCCATCCCCCTCCCCTCCCTCCTCTTCTTCTTAGAATTCCATGTTCTTTCTTTATCATCAGACACATTGTATCTACAGGCTTACTGTCAGAACATCTAGGGGTTTGGGGTCTGGGATGATTGGGATTTTGTTTTATTCCTCTTATTATCCCTGGCTCCTAGAAAAGTAGCCTGCACACTGCAGGGGCTCAATTAAGTATTTGATGAGCAAATCAGTGAATGATTGTATGAACCCATGTCTATCTGGTCCCATAATTCATCTTAACCCTGCGTGAGTAACGACCAGCCACCCACCCTGTTTTCCCTTGAGCTCACTTTTCAGCCCATCCTATTCTGCTCAGTCACTGGTTTGCATTTAAATAAACTTGTTTTCTTTCAGAATCAGCATCCGGGCCTTTACACAACTATTTGATGAGGACTTGAAAGAGTTCACAAAGCCTCTCTACTCAGATACATTTTTCTCTTTGCCCATCACCACTAAGTCAGGTAAGGCTCCTTTCCATCCACCCATGCCTTCTCCAGCCATCTACAAGAGCCTTTAGTGGGGAAGGATGGTGACTTGCCTGATAGTGACTGGGTATTTATTTTCCCTTGGATTTTAATCTCCATGTGACCACGGATTGATGTGGATCAGAGGGATTTCACCAGGTTTACAGAACAGACTGGAGGGAGATTAGTCTTTAAAAGAAGGTGGAAATACATGATGATTTTCCCCTAAAAATGAATTTTTAAGTGAATGAGAAACACCAATATTAAGAGCTTACACGGGTAAAACTATAAATTGGCACAAAGGGCTCTCTGTTGTAGGAGGGACAGAAACCATGCATATGGAGCTGGTTCTTTGTATCCACAGGTCCAATACTGTGAATCAGGAAAATAGATTCAAGAAACAAATATGTGTTTGTGTTAATTATAAACAATCTTTATGCCATTGTTCTCCAAACAATATAGTCTACCAAGTGTTACCACAGCATCCACAGTGTATAGGCATTGTCCGTTCATGCAGAGGGGGTGTGGGTTATGTGCAAATGACACACCACCATTTAGGCAGGGGGGGGTCATGGAAGCAATCACCCTTAAACACTAGGGACAAGTGTCCATGTCAAAGAAGTGGGGAAGAAAAAAACGCTAAATATTAATTATGATGTCCAAACATAGAGAAGCAAAAGGTGATTTTTGTCTTCCTTTTTTATGATTTCTTTTATATCATTTAAAATCCTGGGCTAGTGAAAAGCCTCAGTAGGTAAAGGCGCTTGTGATGATAGTTTCATAGCTCCCGTCCCTTTGTGCTTTGATGCCATCACATCCGAGCTTCCCTTGTCTGGGGTGCTGCAGTGCTCTGCCTTTTGGTCTGAGGACACGGTGTTGGTCTCTCCTGCTGCGTGATAAAGGATGGCCCCACCTCACAGACCTTCCTGTCTGTTTCCGACAAATCCGAGGATAACCTCCTTCCTCTCAGGCCAAAGAAGGATCAGCAGCCAGCTAAGAGGATTGGGATGTGTCTGGCTGTAATTTACTGTTGAGTAGAGACCTTTGCAAACATGATTCTTTCTGATTTGAACTACTGTTACGCAACAGAAAATTTTATGTAGTTCAATAAAAGAAGATGCTAAGCAAATATTCAAAGCAGAATCATAAACACATTAAAAGGAAAACGACTCTGTTGATTTGATGAGTAATGTAAATCAATGTAGAATAAACAGATCTAAGGTCTAAGAGTGGAGTTCCCAAAAGGGGCTACTCCACAAAACTAAACAGAAGAGGCAATATAAGAAGGCTTTTCAAAGAAAATACAGACAAATGACTCATAGCAATGAACACTTAAAAGTAAAGATGTATGGACTAAAGGGTAAAAAACTGTGTGACTCACCGGGCCACACTGCACAGCTTCCATGATTTCTTCTTCTTCTTCTTCTTCTTCTTCTTCTTCTTCTTCTTCTTCTTCTTCTTCTTCTTCTTCTTCTTCTTCTTCTTCTTCTTCTTCTTCTCTTTCTCCTTCTCCTTCTCCTTCTCCTTCTCCTTTCTCCTTCTCCTTCTCCTTCTCCTTCTCCTCCTCCTCCTCCTCCTTCTCCTCTTTCTTCTTCTCCTCCTCCTTCTCTTTCTCTTTCTCCTCCTCCTATTCCTCATTCTCCTTCTTCTCCTTCTCCTCCTTCCTCTTCTTCCTCTTCCTCCTCTTTTTCTTTCTTCTTCTCCTCCTCTTCTTCTTTCTCCTCCTCCTCCTCCAGTTTTGGCTTTTCTTTTAAATTTTGTTTTATATTGAGAGGGGGGGCTGCAAGGGCAGAGGGCAGATGTGAGGGGACGGGAAGATGAGTGGGATTGGGATGCAGTGTGTGAAATCCACAAAGAGTCAATACAAGAAGTGTGTGTGGAGGTGGGGGAAGCTATACATCATCCACTCCCAAAGTTGATAAACTTACTCTGGAGCCAACCTGCCTATAACAGGATGTAGGTAGCTCTTTCACTTCAGCTGCCTCCTCATAGCCTTTGGATAGTCAATACCTCACTGTGGGCATCTTGAAGGGCACGAATAGCAGTGTTACTTAGCTTTCATAGCTGTCAGATTGGTTCCTTACCACTAAATTTTCTCTCCTTTCATTTGTTATTTCCATCTGGGTGACCACAGAGCCCTTGTTCGGGGTCATCGAAGGTGTGAGTGCTGGCCTGTTTCTAATTGGCATGCTGGTGGCCCTTGTGGCCTTCTTCATCTGCAGACAGAAAGTCAAGTGAGTACAAAGTAAAATGCCTTTAGTGATGAGGCTCACAAATGTAGAGTTGCTACAAAAAAAAATGTCCTTTAGCCTGAAAGGGGGGAAGAGGTTTTGTTTCTCCAGGTTAAATCACTGTAGTTTCCTCAGTAAAACCAAGAGTCAAACTCTGAATCCATGACTCACGGTTCTCCGGGTTTCCTATGTTGATGAACTGGGCCCTCACCAACAAATGAGATGCCATCGGTAGATCTCTTTGCTTATGGGAAAAAAAAATCCTCCTGCACAGGCAAAACAATTGAGGTGCATATCCTCATGAAGACAGGCTTTTCCAAACTGTATACCTGTGTGCTTTTCTGAAATACCCTAAAAAGTATGACTGGCATGAGCATCTTGAGATTTACCAGCCACCCTAATTTCAGAAAGAGCTAAACAAATGAGAAAGCCAGCCTGTGCTTTCCAGTACCGGGTCCTCTTCTGCCACTGGTTTTTTTCCAGTTTGTCTTTTCCCCTGCAGCTGTATCTGGCATCCAAGGTTTTCTGCTTTAGGGGACTTTCTTAAGGAAAGTTTATTGAGTGTGGGAAGCAATTATGACCTGTAGCCAAATGTCAGGAGACAAATCTTTCAGTTATCCTGGAGATGTGTTCCTGAGTGGGCAGGATGACTTTATTATGTTGTTCCGTCTCTGCTTCCTCCCCCAAAGAGATGTTGGCTGAGGGCAGGCTTCCATGGAATCTGAAAATTCCACATTTGCCCAAGTGTGCACAGCCTTACCATAAACGGGGGAGGGGAGCGCCTTGTACAAGCCAAGTAACATAATTAGAATAAAGAAATCTGTGTCCTATGTTTTAGCCATGGCCGGGAAAGGCCATCTGCCCGCCTGAGCATTCACAGGGATCGGCCTTTGTCTGTCCATTTGAATCTGGGCCAGAAAGGGTAAGTGCCAAAGTCTCCTTTGCTTGGTTTACTGAAAGATGGCATTCTGCGAGATTTGCTAACAAGGCCCCTCTTTTCTTTTTTGTCTGTCTTACAGCAACCGGAAAACTTCTTGGTAAGAGAAAACGCATTAATGAATCTGCTTTTGAAACACAACCCAGGCTGGTGATAGCACGTTCTCTCTTTCTTCAGTAACTTTCTTTTCCTTTCCTTTTGTTTCTAATTACAGCCCCATAAAGATAAATCAGTTTGAAGGGCATTTCATGAAGCTGCAGGCGGACTCCAACTACCTCCTATCCAAGGAATATGAGGTACGACGCAGGCCCAGGGAAGCCTTTGCACCCGGTCTGTAGAATTCACTCTTGGATATTACTATGAAGTCATGGTTAGGGTGCTGACGGTCTCAGCAGAGCACTCCTTGTGTCTGAGGCGGCTCCCTGAACAGCGTTCTACCTGTTCTCAGAGGCCAGTTTGAGCTTGAAGCACACAGCAAAGCAGGACTTTCTGGCTCACTAAAAAAGAATGAACAAGTTTCAATGCAATGCTGTCAGTTACTCAGCCTGGACATTTGCCTGTCTGGGAAACAATGTAGTGTGGAAAAAGAGTCCCCAGGCTTTGAACACGGTTCTCAGTTTTGCCATTCGTGTCCTGGAGCATGGTATTTATCACGTTTAAGCCTCCTCTGGAGGTTGGCACTAGGGGCACCTCCCATGTGGGCCTGTGGGAAGGATCAGAGCCCACGCCTCTGGAACGCCAGGTGTTCGGTGAACTGTAGCTCATGTGCACGTCTTTACGTTACTATGTCTCTCAAGGGCTGTCTGGGCTGCCTTCTTTTATTTTATATTCTCCAGTTGCAAACTCTTTTTTTTTTTTTTAAACCTAACAGGACTTAAAAGATGTGGGTCGAAACCAGCCATGTGACATTGCTCTCTTGCCTGAGAACAGAGGGAAAAATCGATATAACAACATATTGCCCTGTAAGTTTTGTGTTGGGACTTGTGGGGCTATCACATAAAAACCGTGTGTGTGTGTGTGTGTGTGTGTGTGTGTGTGTGTGTGTGTGTGTGTGTGTGTGTAGAATAGCTGGATAGGTATGCTCTTGGGCTCCAAATGATTTTAATAAGGAATGCTTCAAATACTCCCGCCCTTCTCTCACAAGGGTTAACAGCTATTTTAAATTCTGGTTCTGAGAGGACCAGTTGGCATTTCCCTTTGCTGTTCTTACTATTTCTCCTGGGAGGCTCAGAGCATGACCAAAGTTAAGAGCGGGGCTCTGACTGACTCACTTGGGTTCACTTCACAGTCTCTAGTCTGCAATTTTTCAGAAAAGCCGCCTGCCCTTGTTAGATAAAGCAATTGAAGGTGGTTTTCCTGGCTAGTGTTCAATCCAGAAGTGAGAGAGAGGGGGCCGCTGTGTTGAGCGAGTGTTGGAATGTTGCAAAGGAAACCACAGATGGGACTTCCCATTGTCTCCTGCATCCACTGTTTATGTGGCACTTATGTCACATGCCCAAGTTAGTTACCCTGTCAGAGCCCCAACTACTGAACAGAGATGGAACACTATTCTTGAGGCTGCTGGGATCAGAGGTGAGGCAATCCAATACCACATTGCCTCCATGGGAATACCGTTCCGTGTAGACAACGCAGCCAATCTTCCAATGTATCTCCTTCCAGATGATACCTCAAGAGTGAAGCTGTCCAACGTAGACGATGACCCATGCTCTGACTACATCAATGCCAGTTACATCCCCGTAAGTGAACACCCAGGTTACGGTGCCCACAATGAAGCTTTAATGGCAGTCACACAGGACATGCCACACCTTCTGAGCTGCCCCACGGTTCTGTCTAGAAACACTTGCAAGATTTAAAAGACCGTGTCCGGTTGCCATAAAATAGAGGCTGTTGGCTTCCATCACGGCTGAACCCTGTTTTTCATAATGGCCATGGTCGGGTGCAATTCTCATGACCCCAGGACTAGTGTTCAAAGACTGTTTTCTTTCTGGGACCCTGAGATAGGTCATGTTAGAGCTGCTTAAGGGAGATGCCCCCCATGGCTAAGGCTGCCATGCCAGAAGGGCCAACCTCTTGTTACTTGGACTTTTGGAAACCACACACACACTTGAAAGTTGTGTTAACTTCTGGGATCTGATACTGCCTTGCATCTTGCCAACCTCCCACATACAGCGCAGGGAAAGATTCTTTAAAGGTCAAAAAAAAAAAAAAATCCCAGATCTGAATTCCACTTTTGTCCCTGGCTGGCTTCATGACACAGCAATGAGTTCTGCTACCTCATTCCTTCTCCAAAACATTAAGAAAACATCTCAAACTCTCGTCTATACATTCAATACCTGCTAACCAATTAAGTGATAACTATAATCCAAACACTGAGCTAATTAAAGGGATCGCGTCTCTAAGAGAACTGCTGAAGAGCCAAGACCTTGAGGAGTCACAGGGCCGTGTCATATTCACCACACCAGAGCAGCGTCTCCTATGTGAACAAACATCAGTGTCACACTTCAACATCATCCGTTCTATCTAGCAGAGATAGGGAGAGCCCGGTATTTCGCATTTCTAACAAGCCCCTGTGTGATCCCCTTCCCCGCCAGCCCGAGGACCACAATGAGTAGCAAGAGGCTAGAGGTTACCACAGAACGTGGAGAAGGAGAATGTCACACCCGATGGAGAGAAAGATGAGAGATGACTTCAGTCAGACAGACAAGGTGCTAAGGATAAATAAAGATTAGCCAGCTGAGAAGCAGTGTGTGGGTGGCTGGGTTGTGGATGGCAGAGCCAATGTAATATAGAGATCTTGAGCAAAGGCAATGAGAAATGAGCCTCCACTAAGACTTAAAATTCATTCTGGAGGGCTGAAGTGAAGAAAGAATTAGTAGAAATATCCAGGTCACCATGGTTAGGATGAAGTCAGGTCTGTGAACGTTCAGACCCGCTGCACACTATCTGGTAGTGACTCGAGGCATCAGTGGCTCATTTTCCATTAAGCTTCCTTTGTATGGTATCTCTTTCTGAATTATTGAGATGTCAATTATCCAAAAAGAGCAAAGTCAGTCCTTTTAAATTTACACACACACACAGGTACACACAAACACATAAAAGCACACACAGACACATATACACACAGGTATATATAGACACATATACATACACAAAGGCACACAGACACAGATACACACATGGGCACACATAGACACACAAACACACATAAAGGAACACACAAACACATATACACACAGGTACATATAGACATACACACACAAAGGTACACACAGACACACATATGGGCACACACAGACACACAAACACACGCAGGGGCACAGAAGCACACACAAACAAGAGTAAAATTGTTTTCTATATTGTGGCTGGAATCCTCCATTTGCCTTTACAATAGACCCAGCTGATAAAGAGGATGTGACTTTAAACAATGGTCCTGTGTCCCCAGCCTTGACACTTGTATTCATATCTTACTCTCTGCTCCGGGGGGTCTGGCAGAGACCTCTATACCTTCTAATCTGCGAGCTTACTCTTTGTTTACAGTCCTGAAGAGCCCATTGTTTCTGACTCTCCGTATTGTAAACTCATCACAGGGTAACAACTTCAGAAGAGAATATATCGCCACACAGGGACCGCTTCCTGGCACCAAGGATGACTTCTGGAAAATGGCGTGGGAACAAAACGTTCACAACATCGTCATGGTGACCCAGTGCGTTGAGAAAGGCCGAGTGAGTAAACAGTCTTCCTGCCTCCCCTGCTTTGGTTTTCTGCTGTTGTTTGGATGGATTCCTATCCTCCCTCCCCATCCAAAGTTACACCCACAGAACCAAGAAGAGACCCTGGGAGAAAGCTGTTAGGGAATTAAGCCACTTGATTATAAAACAATCCGGATCCTCTTTTAAATTCATGGTCAGACATTTCGTTCAAAGCTGTTTGCGTGTGAAGCCTGGGAGAGTCGGAAGTAAACGTGAGTGGGAAGCATGCCTGACCCCATGTATGCTCTGTCCTTCCGAGTATGGGTAGGGGAGAGACCCTACCAGAGTCGAGGGGCCTCTCAGGAGAGAAGTATTTTAGGCTGTATGGCAGACACAAAGTAAAATATCTATCTGAAAAACTGATCTATCTATTAATAGCTATCTATTAAAACCTCTTATATTTATAATCCCCGTTTATAATCTTCTATATTATCTGGCTAGTTTGAGGATTAAAAGAGAGACTAAATATAAAGAGCTTAATATGTGTATGGTGGATTTCCAGACTATCTTCCATCACCCTGGTTAGCATAGGACCCTTGTCTTTCTCTGCAAGACTACCCTTATTAGATAATATTTATATGATATATGTAACTACAAATATTGATGAAATGGCTAGAATATGTCCATATCCATGTAAACAGAAATTCAATACACATATGTAACTCTATCTGCCTGCCTCACCATACACACTAAAATAAAAGCGATATTCACTATATTTGATACCCAGGTCTACACACAGAAATACAGATATATATTTATTGTCAATGAATGTGCATCTTAAAAGTATATCAATTTTAATTAGTATGTTCCATAAAACATAAAATAAAAACAAATACTCAGAATCTCCTTCCTTATCTCTTTGTGCATATAAATACAAGTTTAGCTGAAAGTTCCAAGTTCTCAGAGATCTCTTGGGCACATGGCCCAAGTAAGGAAAATGATAAAAAAAAAAAAAAAAATGACCAAACAGGGCCAGGAAGACAATGCCCTCCTCTGCTTGGGTAGGTCTTTCTTCAGAAAGAACAATTTTCCCTCCTCTTTGAAGTTCTTGGAGATGGAATCCTAGGCATTGTGCATGCTGTGGAAGACCTCTCTGCCACTGAGCTATGGCCCCAACCCAAGAGCAAGAGATTTTTAAGTCATTGTTTATCAGTCAGTGGGACCAGGACACTGAGGAAATCATTCAGAAAAAAACCATAAAACCCAAAGGTGAATGAATCTAAAGGTGGGGATTGGGACTTGCTTTGGGGGACAGTCTCTTGCTATCCCTTGGAACAGCAACCCAGCTTTGTCACTGGCCACGAACAGATTAATAGAAAGTAAACTATCAAGTTGCTTTAGCAGCTGATCCTGGATCCCCAACTCAGGGAGGGATGTGAAGGACGGAGACTCCAGATGACCTCACTGTCATGTTTCCAGACTTACTTTTTTCCTGTCTGTTCTCTTCTAGGTAAAGTGTGACCATTACTGGCCAGCAGACCAAGACTCCCTCTACTATGGGGATCTCATCCTGCAGATGGTCTCAGAGTCCGTGCTACCCGAGTGGACCATCAGGGAATTTAAGATATGCAGTGTATGTTAGTTTCCTTGACTTCATTTTAAAACCCAACTTAGAAGCCAGGTACTGTGGTTATCTATTTGGAATCCCAGCATTTGGGAGGTGGAGGTAAGAAGAAGTTCAAGGTTGTCTTCAAATACATAGAGAGCTTGGGGCAAGCCTAGGCTACAAGAGATCCTATCTCAGGAAAAGAATGGGAGGGAAGGAGCGGAGGAGGGAAGGAGGGAGGCAGAGAGGGAATAAAAGCAACAACCCAACTTACATAGAGGAGACTTTGTAAATCCTGCTTTCCTGGTTCGTAGCCTGTAGTTTCAGACCATGAAAACCTGTGCGTGACACAGTTGTCAGAGTCCTTGAGTTTTTCCTCGGATGTCCCTCTCATCACTTGCTCTCCACCCCTGCAGGAAGAACAGTTGGACGCACACAGACTCATTCGTCACTTTCACTACACGGTATGGCCAGACCATGGAGTCCCAGAGACCACCCAGTCCCTGATCCAGTTTGTGAGGACTGTCAGGGACTACATCAACAGAAGCCCGGGGGCCGGGCCCACCGTAGTGCACTGCAGGTATGAGCAACCTGAGAGGTCGTCAAGGTAGAGGTGGCATCAGTAAGAGTCCACAGCAATGCAAAGGCGCACGGCCCAGGAGGTTTCTCCAAGCCAGCCAGGCTGCCTCACCCCAGAGGGGTGCATCGTGCTCTTCTCCCTCTCCTAACCTCGTTCTTCTTCACAGTTTCCAGTTTCTTCACCTCCCACTTCGTTCTCCTCCTCACTCTCTTCTTATTCTCTTTCCTGCTGCATGAAATAGAGAATCCTTAAGTGACTTCCACACCCTCCATCCTGGACCCCATCTCACCTTCAGTCCAACGTCTCATCACTTCCTCTAGCCAAGAAGTTGACTCTATGAGTTGATTCTTTTGTTTTGCTTGCTTCTAATTTTTAAAATTAACTTTGTAGATTATCATACAGACCAATAGGTTTCCTTATCACAGTTCCATACCTGTATGTCCTTTTTGTGTGTTTTCCTCCCCCATGGCCCTCCCCCATACATCCTGCCTTCCTCTGATGGGTTCCCACCTTCCTCATCACATATATTCCAATTACCTTCTTATTCATTTAGAGCACTATCTCCCTTCTCATGGTCCTCTTTTCTAGTTACATTGCACACACACACACACACACACACACACACACACACACACACACACACAATACATGAGTTACTTTTTTGTTGCTGAGATAAAACACCCCGAACAAAGCACCTTATGGGAGAAAGTTTCTTTGGGCTTATGGTTGCAGAGGTTGTGAGTCCATTATGGCAGGAACAGTATGGCAGCCAGCAGCAGCGTGGCAGTTGGAGCGAGCAGCAAGCTGAGAGCTTACATGTTGAACTCTAAGCAAGAAGCAGAGAGCGAACGGGAAGAGGGAAATGACGATTAATACTCAAAGCCTACCCACAGTGATGTACTTCCTCCAGTAAGACCACACACTCTAAACCTACCCAAAGGGTACCACCAACTGGGGACCAAGTGTTCAAATGCCCGAAACTGTGGGGAATATTAACCACTCAAACCACCTCATGTGAATTTTCATCTAGGTCTTGAATGAAAGAGAAAACATGTCATTTTTTTTCTTTCTGAGTCTGGTGCACAGACTTATTCTTGCTTCCTGCTGTTGTTTTGTTTTGGAGACAGGGTTTCTCTGTGGTTTCATGCTATTTTTAACTCCTTGATATTGCTTTCTCTCTCCCCCACCTGAAGAAGCCTTATCCACCTATGGAGCTCACTGCCCTGGACTTCCCTCCAGGTCTAGTAGCATGTTCTTGTCCACTGGTGACGCTATCATATAATGCTGCAGAGTGGGTAAAGGGACTTAGTACTGTGGGGTGCTCCCCTCTGGAGCCTGGATAAGGCACAGACAACACCCAAACACTGATTTCCCACAAAAAGAGATCCTTCACTAAGCAAGGCAGAGAGACAAGATGGCTGAATCCGAATTGGATAGAAACAGCAGCAAATAGCTTTGCAAGTGTTAATGTTAAGAGAGAAAAGGGAAAAAGGGGAAGGTCTGTGTTAGCATGAGTTAGGACATATTGGTAAGTTCTGATGGGGTATTTTAATTGGGATAGTCAAAATAATGAGTTTTGATTCCTGGACCTTGGAGTTTTGATATTGGACCTTGGTGATTAGCCTCAGGGATGAGTCACTGGCCAAACAAGGGGCTAGGCCTTGGTGGCTAGCTTCAGGAATGTAATCTAACACTTCAGCAAGGAGGCAGAAGAAAAAAGGCAAAACCTGTGGGCGCCATGTTTGCCAAGCTAGGCCCTATGTTTGCCATGCTCGGGGCCCTTCACTGGGTGATTTATAAACAACAGAAATGTATCTTTCACAAATCCAGAAGCTTCAAGATCAAGCCACAGACCAATTGGTGTCTTATAGGGACCTTGTCTCTGAAGCCATGTGCCCCTCCAGAGAAGAGAAAGCTGTCTTCACATGAAGAAGGCAGAAAGGCAAGGGACAGAGGGAAAGGGACCTCACTAACTCACTCCAGCTGTCTGTAGCCAGTTTTTGCCCTTAAGTTTCTTTTTTTTTTTCTCTTGACTTTTCTTTGTTTCAGTTCATCTGTCCATAAAGTCAGCTTAACAAGCCATCTTCCTCTCTCTGGGCAGCCTGGTGTTTAGCTAATTAATGTTGCAGCACACTTGGACAGCCCTCCCCGAGTGGCACTGATAAATAAAGAGTGGAGAATTGCAACAGTAAAATAAATGTCAAATGTGTTCATTCCTCCCCAGCAGCCCCACGCCCCAGGAGCCCTGCTTTTATATGTCTTTGGACCTCAGTGCTTTAATGGGAATATGAAACACTCAGGGGTCTCCTGCTTTCCGAAGAATGGCAGGCAATTTCTTTCAGAAACATTGGAGAATTGCTTTGTAGTTTTTAAATGTGTTCATTGCCAGCCAAAATAACCAGAGCGGGTGTCTACCAAGAATATTGATACTTATTTAGGAAGAGTAGAGCCATACAGTGGGAATGGGTGCCGTTGTCAATCCTAGATATGTTCAAAGTTGAGTTTTTTTAAGACAAAAGTGAGAAAATTTATATACGCTGCTCTGTCACAAGTCTCACTGGTCTTAATATCCCGAGGGAGGAGTTGGTGTTCACTTACTGGTGGAGGTACCATTGATGGCCTCTGCTTGGCAAGTGTTATGTGGAAAGCATTTTATGTGGATGGCTATAGCTTTAATGCTAAAGATAACTTTGGTACAGAAACCTTGGCATGTGTGTAGCGCATATAAAGAATGGCATGAATGGAGAATGAGAAGAAATTTCTTGTGGGGCTCTAGAAAGTTCTTACAGAAGTATTTATTGCAAGTGGGCAAACAGGCATGAACTCCCCCTTTCTCTATTCTTGGCTCTGATTTTGTCTGGGTTGAATAAGACCAAATTCGTCTTGGTATCATCAGTTTGCACAGTGTCAAGAATCCTGTTTCAAGAAGCAGTTTAGCAACATCTAGCAAAAGTGTTCATACCCTATAACCAACCCAGCACTGCCTCTTCTAGCGACCAACTGCTGAGCAATTGCCACATAGATGCACAATGATATTCACTGCAGTATGGCTTTTAATAGAAAATTAAAAATGATCTCATACCCTTCAGTATGGAGTGGACTGGTAGTGGTTTGTGGCTTCTTCAAAACAGTTAAAAGTTGGAATTGAGCCAAGCAGAGTTGCGTGTGTCTGTGAGCCTACACTTGAAGACTAAGGCATGGAGATCATGAGTATATAGCAAGACATTTTCTCAAAAAAAAAAAATCAAGCAAACAATGAGAAAAAAGAAAGGGCAAATCACACACACACACACACACACACACACACACACACACACACACAGAGAGAGAGAGAGGGGGGGGGGAGAGGAAATTAGTTCTGTATCACAAATAGATAAATCTCAAAACAATACTCACGGTATTGAGTAGAGAACTTGGCAAAAGGATGTGTTGTATCTTAACATTTTAGTAAATTTTCAAAATGTACAAAATGTTCCTTTTGAATTAGCAGGTATGGAAAATTATAAAAAATAGGCATGAGTTTGATATATACCAAGGTCTGAGTGGTGCTTACATCAACAGGGTGAGGGTTGGGAAGAAGTGGGAAGAGGTAGACCATGAGAGCTCTAGGTAGACTATGGTAGCTCTAGGTAGACCACAGGGGCTCTAGGGAGGCCATGGGGGCTGTAGGTAGACCATGGAGGCATTAGGTAGACCATAGAGGCTCTATGAAGACAATGGGGGCTGTAGGTAGACCACAAAGGCTCTAGATTGTCTTTCTTTGAGAGAGAGCATGCCTGTGTAAAGAAAGATTCCTGTATTCCCCCACAATTTGAGAGACAGAAGAAAGATGACTAGAGTCTCCTGATGTGATCATGAAAGGGGAATTAAATCAGAGGCCCCATTTTCCTTTTGCTTCTCTCCAGTGCTGGTGTGGGCAGAACTGGGACATTTGTTGCCTTGGACCGGATCCTCCAGCAGTTGGACTCCAAGGATTCTGTGGACATTTATGGAGCAGTGCATGACCTAAGACTTCACAGGGTTCACATGGTTCAAACTGAGGTAAGATTTCTAAGCTGAAGGATACCAGTGCCCTTCCTCACATCTTACCTACCACACCTACCCACCCATCCCCCCAAAAAACTGTCCAGGACACCTTAGCAAGAGAAAAAAAAGGCTTTGCATGGATGAAAAGTTCTATGTACAATCACAGTAGCCATGGAAACCACACAGGCAGCTGCAAGTAACCAGCATCCTGCAGCAAGGTTCCCTTTGAGCTCTGCTGAACCCACAATTCTAAACTCACGCTGCCCCTAAATTATTTCCAGTGCAGTGTATATTAATATCCTCTGGGACTCACCTTCTGTGCCAGATTTGGCAAAAGCCTCCTTGGTGTCCTTGCCTTTCCTGAAGGCAGCATCTACTCACCAGATCTGCTACCACCATTGTATTATCCCTATCCAAGTATGTGTGTGTGTGTGTGTGTGTGTGTGTGTGTGTGTGTGTGTGTGTATTTTTCCTTCCTTCCTTCCTTCCTTCCTTCCTTCCTTCCTTCCTTCCTTCCTTCCTTCCTTCCTCCCTCCCTCCCTCCCTCCCTCCCTCCCT